AAAAGAAAAACTGTTATATTGATAGATTCCTTAAAACAGAGCTGGCAAAGTAGAGGATAAACGTAGTGGTTGGGGTTTAGGAAGGCGTGTACATGGGCAAATATCAAAAAACAGCACGAACAAACAGAAAAACTTAAAAGAATTAAAAAAATAAAAATAAAAGAGCAGCTGTAACAGCATTATCAGCAGAAAAAAGATCCTTCTCACAATTACCACCCAACAAATGAAAATAAAACCTCCTCTTTATACAGAAAAAAAATCTTACCCGTTAAAAAGTTCATGTATATTCAGGTCATTCTCTTTCAGTTTCGGGCCAGTGCTATACCAGCCGACAACATGCTCCTTTGCTGAGATAAATTTATTTGCACATCAAATTATATCCACAGTCCAGAAAATATTTAGTAAGAAACTAAGGTTTTCTTAGCAGGAGAACAAACCATTGATTCTTCTGAACATGGAAAACATTGATTCATGGTAGTTATGATCAAGAAACCAGATGTTCGGGTCCCTGCCATCTTCCTCGAAAGGAACTGCTCATATTGGGGGCACAAATGTTACTAAAAGCATCAAATTAAACAATACTGGAGTTTACAATTAGAAAATTGAAACAAATTTAGAAATGAATGACTACTGAGAATACAAAGAATGAACCAGAAAAACTCCAAAGAGTGAAAGTCTAGCTACAAAATAAAATTTGACCATTACTTCTACAAAATCGCACATCATATTATTGATCAAAGTAAACAACCATCAGCAAGCAGATGCATGAAACCATAGAGTTATTCAAACATCAACAGGAAAAAGGTATTTATTAGTATCTGAAGGTTGACTTAAGGGAGAAATTTATCATCGAGAAAGCAATCATTCAGGAAAATGTTGGGCTAATGGTTCTGGAAAGTAGACTGAATGTTTGAAGAAAAAAATATACATCACTAAGACTACAATCTGATACAAAGAGAGCTTATTGAAATACTCAATAATAAGAGCTAAATTATAAGTTATCAAAGGCTATGAAGAAAAGGTAAACTTAAATGAACTCATTAAATTGACTCTCCCAAAACAAATGAATAAGAAAAGCATGAAGCAGAACACACGAGGCGACATGGGGACGAAAAAGGGGGAGCATTTCAGACAAAATATTTTTTTTTTCAAACATCTTATATCCAATCGCAACCTCAAAGATTGTAATGATATGCCCTACTGAAAANAAGATGCACCCTCACATTCAGAATACAAATCCACAATATTACCTTAATCAAGCTCTAATCATTCACCATGTATTCATAAATATTTCCAGATTGAAATCCACAACAAATCTTACCTCAATAAACCCCAAATCTCTTAGCTTGAACATCAAAATACACAAAATATCTCTCACCTCGAAAAACATAACTTAATATAAAGACAAAAACTTGATGCACCCCAGTCCATTATCAATCGGAAAAGAAACTAAAGCTCAGAACTTTAATGACCAATTACCAGCAAACCCTAGCTCCAAACTATATTCAAACTTCAAATCAACCAAAAAATCCACAAAAGTTCTCAAATAAAGTGATGGGATCGAGAAGACCGACCGGCGTAGCTGTTGGTGACATCGACCGTGCCCTTGAATGATGTCCCGAGAAGAACTCCAACAACGCGCTTTCTGGTGTCACGCGCCACCCGATTGTAGTGGTCGACGACGCTCAGCAGCACCAGCGGGTGAACCACCACCTTCTCGATCGGCCGTGAGGAAATCTGCTGCGACTTTATCACGTCCATTATTCCTCAAGATTCCAATTTTTTCTACACTGTTCTTTTTTGGGGCTTATGAGCTGAGCTTCAGTATCGTGGGCGGAAAGACAAACAAGATGCTCGCTTGGTTACTTATATAATTAATTTTTGTAAAGTTAACAAATAGAAGGGAAAAATTAATTGGTAATTTGGTACCCAATGTTTTTCGATTTTGGTACTTTAAGTTTATATTTTAATTTAATCAATTTTAATATGTAATATTATGTCTAATTTATTTCAAATCGTTAACTTTGGCATTAGAAGCTAATGAGCCGAACAACAAATAATTAAAATCACAAGAAATTGCATAATGATTGAAAAAATTCAAGAACAAAAACACACAACTCGTATTTCAATTTAATCAATTTTGCAATGTTATGTAGGAAAATAAATTTTATTCGAAAATCGTTAACTTTGCCATTAGATGTTAACGAGCTAAAAAATAAATCGTGAAAATTATAGGAAATTGAAGAATGACCGAAAAAAAATTAAAATGAAAAGAAAAGCACATAAATTCAACTTTAAATTTACGACAATAAGAACTTAAAATTTAACAAATGATTATCGTGGTTAATGAAAAGAAAGCAAATAAGATGTGNAAACTTACAACATATTATAAACTAAAAAATTAGTATCAATAAAGGATTATTATAAAAAAATATAAAATGAAAATCATTTAAAGTTCAAAATTAATCCATATAACCCAACAAAAATACAAAACATAAAAGAAGGCCCATTAGATATGGCCCAACGATATATCCATTGTATTGGCGGCCCCCAATCTCTTTTCCCTAATCTTAACAATTCCCACTGCAAAATCCCAAACCCTAGAATTTCACCTGCTTTTTTCCTCATCAACCTCTCTCTCTGCATCAGTGAAGCAAAATGGGGTCCAACGAACAAACGGTACTGCAGTTCGTGCCATCGCCCACAAGCGTGTCGGCTAGGGTTCATCCACTTGTCTTATACAACATCTGCGACTGTTACGTGAGGCGGCCTGACCAAGCCGAGCGCGTCATCGGCACGCTCCTGGGATCGGTTTTACCCGACGGCACAGTCGACATTCGCAACTCCTACGCCGTCCCTCACAATGAGTCATCGGATCAGGTTATAAGGGTTTTGTTTCTTGAAGATCTGTTTGAATAAAATGCGGGCTATTTCAAATTGAGTTGCATTGTAAATTGCTGGTCTTATTCCGAGCTATTTTATTGGATGGGTTGTTATGAGTTGCTCTTTTATGATAGTGGAGTGTAAAAATAAGTTTCTTCTTTGTTTTTCCGTAGTTTGATTAAATTGGAATTTATTGGTGTTACATGATTTGTTTGTGAAAGAAGATTGTTTCTTTGATTTAGTTTTGTTCTTTGAATTTTATTTGTGTTAGGTTGCAGTGGATATTGATTACCATCAGAATATGTTGGCATCCCACCGGAAGGTGAACCCGAAGGAAGTCATAGTTGGATGGTAATCTTTTATTAACTATGAAAATTTCTCTTCCTTGTTAAAACTTCTATTCTGTACTCTAATATGTCTTTTGAAGTAACAGTTATATTACTATGACTTATTTAAGATGCATTATTGTCCTATGTGTGACAGTTTACTGCAAGGATTTTTGCTTTTTGATCTTCCAAGCTTGGTTTTACATTGGTCTTGTTTTGAAAACCAAATGAAATGTCCTACAGTTTCTAGTATTTTCATTGTCTATTACTATGTTTTCAGCTTTGCTTTTCAGAACAGGGTTTAGTTTTGTATATTCAAAATCTTTTATTTTATTCAAATTAGAGATGATGGTGGTTATGTCTGTCAAATGCAGCTTTAGCCATTTTTGTTAGTTTTGGCCTATACCGATATCTAAAAGAGTTTCCACTTAGTGAATTTGTGTGATAGTAAGTTTGTGTCAATTTTCCTGATTGTTAATTATTTATTATCTTGTAGTATGACATTGCCGTAAGCCAGCCACGTCATTTGGTAGCATCCTATGACTCCACCTACTTAATTTCAATTTGCAAACCACTGATTTATGAATGAAAATGAATGGCCTGCTTTATATTGAAGCTACTACAGATTTTTAAATTGGAAGTTGATTATAATCTCGTTCGTACATGCATATAGGTTCTCAACTGGTGGAGTGACTCCAGGCAGTGCTTTAATCCATGAGTTTTACTCCCGAGAGATCACCAATCCTGTTCATTTAACCGTTGACACCGAATTTAGGAGTGGGACTGCCGCTATCAAGGCATTTGTCTCGATTAATCTGTCTCTTGGTGATCAACAGCTTGCCACACAATTTCAAGAAATCCCACTGGACATGCGCATGATCGAGGCAGAGCGTATTGGATGTATGTATCCATCTGACTCTGTTAACTTAGTGCCATCCCATATTTTTCCCGCCATTTCTTGAAGAGTTTTTTTTTTTTTTGGGGTTATATATATCAACAGTCGATGTGCTTAAGCCGATGAATGTTGACAAGCTTCCAAACGATCTGGAGGGAATGGAGGCCTCTATGGAACGGTTGCTTGCTTTAATTGATGAAGTCTATAATTACGTTGATGATGTTGTGGTAAGATAATTTGGTGCTCTTTTCATGGGACTTTTGATTTTTGGGCCTCTCCAGTTGTTTGTCGTGACTGATTCTTTCTTTATCCTATTAATTCAGGAAGGGCGAAGTGCTGCCGATACTAAAATCGGGAGATTCATATATGATGCCATAGCATCCCTTCCCAAACTACCACCACATGTTTTTGATAAACTCGTGAACGATGGTCTGCAGGTATATATTATATATAACTTGTTCTACTGCTCCATATGAAGCTAGTGATACCAAATATATTGTGATTTACAATTTTCTGAAAATATTGAACCTTGGGAATATCGTGTAAATAGAATGTGGAAAGTTTGTCAGTTTGAATATTGATACTAGTAGACAGATATAATTGGGTGAAAAAGGACGAATGAAACTATTGAAAATAGCACTATTAGGAGGACCGTGGGTTTTTGTAAGACCACCACTAATGAACTATAGCCTAATTGGTCTCGGTTTTTCCACAAGAAGCTAGTGATACCAAATATAGTGTAATTTCCAATCTTCAGAAAATATTGAACCTTGGGAATATCACGTAAACATAACGTGGAAAGTGTGTGAGTTGGAATATTGATAGACAGATATAATTGGATGAAAAAGGACGAATGAAAGTACTTAAAAATAGCATTATTAGGAGAACCGTGGGTTTTTATGAAGACTACAACTAATCAACTATAGTCTAATTGGTCTTCGATTTTTTCACTAGAAGCTAGTGATACCTAATATAATGTAGTTCCCAATTTTGAGAAAATATTGAACCTTGGGAATATCGTGTAAACAGAATGTGGAAAGTGTGTGAGTTTGAATATTGATACTTGTCGACATATATAAATGGATGAAAAAGGATGACTGGAACTGTTGAAAAATAGCACTATTAGGAGAACCGTGGGTTTTATAAAGACCACAATTATTCAAATATTCAAATATAGCCTAATTGGTTTTTATTTTATATGGTTGGAAAAATATATCATGCTGAGTTTCATCTTCTTGCAGGACCAACTGCTATTACTATATTTGTCGAGCATAACAAGAACACAACTCAGCCTAGCGGAAAAGCTCAACACAGCTGCCCAGATTCTTTAGTCGGTTGTATTCTCTCGCTAAGCCTGCATTTTTTGGACAAATTGTTTTCTTTTCTTATTTTGCTGCTTTTAGGTTGTTAGCAGCCGAGTTTTGTTTGTACTGTCTGAGTATAATTTTACGTGAGAATTGATTGAATAGTCGTTCTTGATAAGTGGTTTGCCAATGCATACAATATTTTACTGGAACATTAAATGAAAGGTGCATGTGATTCAATTCTTCAGTATCAATTTTGTATTTTTATTTATTTTTGTTATTATAAGTTCAAAGACATTCAAGCTCGAAAAGGTATTCAAGCACAAAAAATTCGATTTTAACGCCATGACGGGATTTTTGTTTGTGTGATCCATTAGTAAAAAAATTGATAAGAATCATATTTTAATCTTTACCTGCACCATTTCATGTATGTTGAACAATTGGAATTCTTCATCAGTCGAGCACTCCATTGGCTGAACAGCATTGGGAGTGCTCTTAAGGGTTATGGCATGTTTGCAAACTCATAAAAGCCAAGATTAAAAAATTTACATGGCCTAGTATTATATTCATTAACCATTAAAGAAAAGAATCTGCAAAAATGTAAAAGCAGCACGTAAAATTAATTATCTATAAGGCCCATGGCCAAGGTAAGATAATTTTTTGTCTAAGCCCGTAGCAAATTTCAAAAACTATTGGATAAAAACAATAATAATTCCAACAAAAACATCATTTGCTAAAAACACAAACATCATTTAAAACAACCAAATTGCAGAATTCAAAGTTTTTAACATTGAAACATTGAAAACAAACTTCTAAAACAAGTGCCAAATTAAAAAAACAAGGAACGAACGACGAACCCATAATTAAGCACACACAAACTTAACTCATCCAACTCCAGCCGAACGACAAATATTGAAATCAACTTAATCGAAAAGACTGAAGCCCATGTCATCATCAGACTCCTCTGCAGGCTCATCTTTCTTTTCTTCCTCCTTAGCAGCACCACCACCTGCAGCGGCAGAAGCTCCACCATCACCTGCCGCAACAGGCACAGCAGCCACAGCAAATTTGCTCGGGTCCTAAAATTTCACACATAAATCAAATCAACAAGCCATCACAAAAGCACACAAACTAAATTACGAGAGAAAAAGAAAAAAAAAACATACAGCAAGATATTCCTTCACTTTATCAGCTTGAGGGAAAGAGTAATCGGTGGCTACAGCAACAGCCAACACATTCTTGTAACCATTGATGAACATGTGAGGAGCAGCAGCAAGTGTTGGGTAGGAGATGGCAAGAGAAAGTGAAGTGACCATTGACACACCCATAGCAAATTTCTCAATGAGGTCATCCTCAGTCAAATCGAGCACTTCTGGGCTGAATACAGACCCATTGTCATAAACAGATATGACAACAAGCCCGTAAGAGAAGGGCCTGATTCCAAGCTTGGCAAGAAGGGCTGCCTCAGAGGAGCCCACTTTTTCACCCTTCTTGATGAGCTCGACTGGGGTGATGATTTCGACAGTACCTTTGTTAATCTTGGTCGGGATGTTGAGGACCTGTGGAGTAATTAATACAATTTTCCTTAGTAAGAATATTACAGATCAGGGGAAAGGGGAAGGAGTGTAAAGAGTTTATGTGAGAATCAAGAAGCACCTGGAAGAAGGAAGTTTGTGATGGGTCGAGACCAGTGTTGCCAGGTGGGACGACGACATCAATTGGAGCCACCAAACCAACACGAGCAGGTGCTCCAACCTGTCAAACAAAGTAAAATAAAACAAGTTGGGAGATTTGCAAGGCAGGCAATTGATGCAATGCAAAAAAGAGAAGATGATGTTGTTCACTCAATATGCCCATTCACTATTCATCCTTAGATCTCTAAAGTTCCATTTTTTTATAATAAAGATAATGCTACAAATACCATTCATACAGAAACAATGGACAAGAATTAAAATTACAGATTAAGGTATGTCTGCAGTAATATTCAGGAGCAAGAACAAACAAAATCCATATAAACCACAGTTTGGGTGTAAATTCACGCAATAATTTCTCATAAGTTCATTTCAACAGTATAAAGGGGTCACCTTTTCACAAGTTCAATGAAGAATAATACAAGATTTCTAACATTCAATATCCAAGCCATGTCAGTCAGTACTAGCTAAGGGCTTGATTGTTTATGGATTATTTCATTCTCATTTATTTCATACTCAAAATTTAACTCAACTTTAACTCAACCCCACTATCTTTAATATTATTTATATAATTATATAATACAAACCAATCATTCTTACACATCACGTCAACTTCAATTCACTATTCATCCACTCACATAATTTAAAGTACCGATCATTTCCAATCATTTATCTCCTACTTTTACATCAAATCAATTTTAATCATTTTATTTTAAATATTATTATAATACATTCTTAAAATTCCACTAACTAACCATACCACCTTTTTCAAAATTAACTATGGTTAACCAAAATAATTCATTTTGAACAAATTATTTCATAAACAATCACCCCCTAAACCACATCCAGTCAACACAACTGTCAAACCAAATACATTCCTTAAATCATCATATGCAACAGGCCTGATGCCACAAGCAGAAAGCTACAGAATGTATAACCCTAAACTAATCAAATGCGGATCAAATTTATAATTAGCTACAAAACAGCTGAACAGATCTATTATATTTTAAAATATAGCTGTATACGATGAAAAATTCTCACCTTGTATTTAGCAACTTCCTCACTGACTTCCTTAAGATCACCCTTCGTGAAGATCAGCCCAACATTTCCCTGCCAAAACAGAGTTCAACAAAGAATGTTAATGATAAAAACTTTTCACATCGATGTAAGAATACAAAATTGAATCTGCCCATACAAAACAAGCTCGAAACTCACAACTAAGAGAGGAATGATATTCAGAATAGCTTTATTCCCCGTCTTCTCCGAGTGGATACGAATTGACCTCTTCATCATCGTGTTCTTGCCCATGAGCACCACAGAGTCGCCCCTCAGCCCTCTGCGGATGTTCTGCAGCTGGTTCGAGCCGACGTTGTCGGCGGCGGCCACCAGAACCTGCGTGTACTCATCCAGCAGCTGGCAGAGCTTCGAGTCGTAAGCGATCTTCTTCTCGGCCTTCGTAATCTTTGGCGCCATTTCTCTAAGTTACAAGGTATAATATACACAGCTAAAAAAAACCCTAGAACTGAAAGGAAGAGATACAAAAAAGAGGGCCAAGACGCAGCGGCGGCGGCTAAGTCAAGGCGGACAGCGGCGAGCCGTCACTTTAACCTCTTCGATTCGGAATCGGGGGTTTAGAAGGAAGGGGAGGCAAAAATCCTAGCTCGAGCAGTGAAGAAAATGGCTATGGAGGTTTTGAAGGTTTTTTATAGGACCAAAATGGCGTGACCTAAAAGGGACGGTCAGGATTTGCAGTTCGGTAGTAAGATCCTACGGTTGATGATTGTTGGGCTTTGGATTTTGGGCCTTTCTTTTTTGGTTTGGTCTGCGCTCGCGAAAAACTACCTGTGCAAGCCCAAAACTATCTGTGTAAGCCCGTGCCCGTCAAGCGCTAATCGGCAATGTGCCCTTTGCCCGCTTTTCTTTATCTTGGGTCGGTAGCTTAGTTGTTAGACGAGTCGATTCATCATACATTTATTTATTTTATTCTTTTAGTTTGAAATTTCTGTTTGAAAGTATATTTGTATATTGAGACAATATATACTCCTCCGAAGCCTCTCCCAGCTCCTTGTGAAACAAACAATGTGGGTGGCGATTTTAGAGAGAGTGTATTCGTTTGGGGTTTCTAAAGACTTTAAGACATTAAAAATCTTGGTGTATTAAATTTATGTGTTTTAAATTTTTTAAAAGTCTATATACATTATTTGAGATTTTAGAAAACCTTGAAAAATGATAAGTTATTTTACTTATTGGAGACTGTAATTTGTTAGGACTTCTTAATTTGTGAAATTTCAAAAGAAAAAAAAACCATATACAAAAAAGTCATGAGTTTGCCTGAGTTATGTTACTTCAAATGGTTGCATGTACTGTCTGAACTTGTAGTGACATTTGTGAATTGGGCTGAAAAAGTGTATCTATGAGAGCAGTTGACGTGCCTAATCGACCCGCCTAATGATTAGCTACACGTACGAAGTGGTGTTTCGCATAACCATCATCTTAAAATGAAGTTCCTGAAAACTAACATAACATGTTTTAGCTCATAGAAATACTATGAGAAGATGGACAGAGGACTTAACTCTAAAAACATTGTCATAAAAAAATCTCCCTACATTCAAAACATGAGAATGTGTTTTTTCTTCATTAGCATCTCTCTGAGTTCAAAGTAACCAACAAAACCTCAAGTTCCTCTTTGTTTTTAGAGAAGAACACATCTGCAAAACCTTCATAATTCTCGAACTCCCTAACACGATAAAAAAAACTCTCGTTTCCTCACTCTGAATATCCTTTCACTTTCCTTTATCGTTTTCTCTCCCTTTTTTCTTCACTTTAATCATCTACCCTTTCCATATATACACACTCGCTACAAACGGTTCAGTCCACATCTTTAAAGAATTATCAACTGGACACCGGGAGGTTTCTTGGGCTCGAGCTGCTTGCGGGCCCGTTTTCGAGCCGATTCCTCTTTCTTTCTTTGGTCGGGCCCACCAGGGAATCTCTCAAGAATCTGGTTGCGAGGGTCGATCGTGATTTTCTGGAGAGAAAGGGCATTCTCGATAAAGTAGAAAACGAGCTCGGCTTCACTTGTTCGCCCGTAATACCCGACAATCTCGACCAGTTTCAACAACTTATGGGCACATTTGGCAGCTTTTCGTATTCTTCGTCTTCTCTTAGCTGGCGCCATCCATATTAACTGCAAAATGACGAAAAAAGGCCTTTAGTTTGCCTTTCGATCATCTACTTCACTTTTTTTTTTTTAATATCAGGAATGATTGTAGGAATCTATACGTAGGGTTAAATATGCTTTTATTGATACTCACAACTGCAAAATTCCAAGTTATTTGATAATCATAATCGGAATATCATCATTTAGATATTATGCCTCAGTTAGGTCAGCAATGATAGTTCCCTACTAGAAAATTGAAAGTAGGTCTCAGTAGAATAGAAAGTATTGAAGTTAAAATATCAATAACAATAGTAATAAGTAATAACATCAAAACAAAATAGAAGAATTTTGTGGGCAGCAGATTCAAGTAGCAAGGCTAGCTCTTCGACAATAAAAATGAAAATGAAAATGAAAAACAAAACCAACTATTATAGTGATATCAGTGTTTTTTTCTTACTTAGTTTCGATTGCTAAAGCCGTAAAAGCTAGCAAGATGTGTATACATTCTTAGGCTATGTTTGGTAGACAAATAAGTTAGTTTATAGTTTATTTGGTTAGCTTACTAAACTCCGTTTGATAGAACGAACTTTTTTAAAAAGCTCGAGCTTATTTGATAAGCTTCTTTGGGTAGCTTTTCAAATAAACTCGTTGAAATTTTTATTTCAGCTAGCTTATCAGCTAATTTTACCAAACACTTTTATCACATAAGCTAGCTTTTCAGCTATAAGTCATAGGTATAAGCTAAAAAATTACTGATAAGTTATAAGCTAGCTTATCAGCTAGTTTTACCAAACATAGCTTAATATGAACCGAGGACAACGCAATGCTTGAAAAAAATAAACATACATGAATTCAACACGAACACAAGCAAAAACCACGATTATTAACAGGGTTACTGAAAGCTTTATCTTTCTCGATTGTCAACCTAAAGCATGTTAAACCAGATTTTACAAACTAACCTCAAAATTCTTACCTGCAATACGAATCTATTCAAATTAGGGCATGCCTTTACTAGAGAAGTGAACTCGAGTAGACTATCATCATTCCATGCCCCTACTTTAAGAATCAGCTTCTTCAGCTTCGGCAGCTCAGGAAATGCTGAAATCTTTATATTCTCCTATAACATTTTAAAAAAAAAAAAAAATCAGCAAAAACTCCATTTTTCAAATAGAAAAGAATAGCAAAAAGTTCACCACCTCAGGACGGTATATCTCCAATGTAAGAACCTCCAATTGGTAAAGACAACACGAGAGCTGCCCAAAAACATTGTTCTCCAATCCTGAGTACCCTTCTCCTATCGAGATCTCGTCGAGCATCGGCACATTATTAATAACTAAATTAATCCCGGGACCCAAATAACTGAACGAGACGAGATTCACGTTCGAGATTTCGATCTTCTCTACCCCCAAACAGAACACTATCTCCAAGTACTTCAACATAAGAGATTGTCCGCTTACTTTCACGTTCACCAAGTCCCCAGAGCCGTGTATGGACAAATATTTCAAAACCAAACATTCAGAGAGAACAAAATCGAAAGCCTCATCACTCACATTCACACATTTCAAGGAGAGAGCTTTCAGACAACACTTCATATGCCCGAAATTCGGGCGCATGACATTCTTCAAAGATATTTTTTTACACAATTGCTTATACGGGAAAGTGTAGTTACGCATGGATTGCCTAAGCGTCTCGCCATTTTCTAACAAGTCGAGCTCGAGCCTTTGGACACCTTTCGAGATTGCGAATTTGACCCAATTGTCGAGAGCAGATTTCGAGCTCTTGTCCAAATCGAAACAGATACGAAATGAATCAACAATCTCCCCTTTATGCTGCCTCACGACCCGGTTAACCCAGTTGATGTATTTAGGCCTATCTGGTGACTTTAGTTTTCGATTGGCTGCAATTTTATCCAGCGTTTTGTTACCGTTGAAATTCAACCGGGCCAAGTGGGTCCACACGTATCGCCATCTTCTAGATAAAATGCTAGTGACTGCAGCTTCTTTTAGTTTCACACGAGACAAAATCGAAACAAGAATGTCATCGGTTAACGAGCTTATATAATCCTCGGGACCAATAACTTCCTATTCATATCACAAAACAGGGTATAATTTTCAGCAATGGCCAAGATAGCATATTTTTGGAAAAATCCAAAATGGGTCAGCATTACAATAATCATTTCTTTGAATTAAAAAAAAAAACACACACACACACACACAGAATTGTGTAAATTTTCACCAATCCCATCTCATATCAGCCCACATTAACACGTAAACCCCAATTTAGATTTATCTAGCAGATGCTGACAATGAATTAACTAATTAAGTACCCAGATCATAGTACCCATCAACATAAAAAAGAAAAAAATAAAGAGTAAATTGAAAAAATACAAAATTTACAATGACGATCATAAAGATTGAAAAATTAACTTGAATAAATATTGGCATCAATCTAATCAGACCTCGGGAGCTGCAAGACGGGTCCTTTTCCTCATTAGAGCCGATAAAAAGCAGATTTTTTACAGACCTTTTTTTGGAATGAGTCGGGTCGAATTTTTTTAATTGTTCTGTAAGCTGCAGAAAATGAAAGCCCAGTAATATTAAATTATTAATAATCAAGAAACTTAACTCACACGACACAGTGTGCGCTTGAGAAAGTGTGTGTATATGTGTGTTTTTGTGCGTAATTCAGGTTTGCAAGAGGTGAAGAAGTACCTGAGACGGATGTAAAACGCCATTAAAGACGATGGAAGAAGTTGCAGCTACATAAACCTAAGACATTGCCATTTAAATATGACTGAAATAGGATAATTTATTATTATTATTAGTTATTTCTTTTTCCTAAGATTTAGACACACGGCATTATTCTTATTTATAATTTGTNTGTTTATAAAAGAGATCCAAGATAAATTTGGAAAGTGAGAACACATTGGGTTTACCCTTCGCATGTAACTTGAAATAATACACAAATTATTGAATTAGTCTAAACGTTAGGCGGGATGACCCGTCATAATTTGTTAACAAAAAATTATACTTATAATATAAATTTTGTATGTTATTTTTATAATATCACATTTAAATTTGAAAGTATGAATATATATATAAGAAAAAAATGAATGATAAATCATTAGGTCTCTCTGACCACACTTTTATGGAAAATTTTATGATGATCAAAATGATTCATTTAGATTTGACAACACTTTTATGGGAAATAATATAATGATCAAAATGATTCATTTGGATTGCAATAGCAGTTGGCTAGCAAATTTGCACATGATGAAAAAGAAATCTACTTAAACTTTAGTTAGATGATTGTAACTATTAATACAACTTTTGAAATATGTGGTTTGTGATTATTATTTGAGATAATTTGAATAATTTTAAAGAAAGGAAAAGCCCATATGAAGCCCAAATGAGGTTCTATTTCAAAATCAATTGGTGGAAGGAGGAGTAGCCCATTAGTCTTATAAGATGGGTCTATTTTCCATATATGAACTATGTGGGACAACTCACAAGTAATATTCTAACAATATTAACTAACGAAAATGTATCTTCAAACGTAATTAATAGTACACACAATTAGTGAGTCTAGAACCTAGTGCTCATGGGGCCATAATTTAAACTTTTGTCCAAATTGATCTCTATTTAATTTTTTTGGTCCACCTTAGAAAGCCTAATGCAACAATTATTAAAAAATGCAATGTGCCTATATGCTGAACAAATTCTTCAAATATATATAAAAAAAAAATGTAATTTACAAATTATTATATGAAATGATTAACTGTTAAGCGGATCATTTCACAGTACATTATGTAACGAAGTGTCATACTTTGATTTATATTATTTTTAAAAAATATATGATTGTCTAACAATGATTTTATTGATTGTGATTACATAATATATATAATAGTAGAATTGGACTATTAGTGGTGTATTCTACTGCTAATGTTAGCCGATATATTGTATGCTCGGGTTATATTGTAATTTACTGTGCGTTTAATTACAAGAATATATGTAAGTATATATGTACAGTATGTATGTAAGTAAATGTATAGTATATATAAGTATATGTAAGTATATATACAGTATATATGTATTGGTTCTTGAGTGTTGTTTACTGATCGACACCCCCACGTTTTTTTTTCCTGTTAATGAAGAGCGTCTGTCGAAGAATCGATCGACAAACCGACTGTGTTTTTTTTTTTTCTATTAATGAAGAGCGTCTGCTCGCCGGCGTGTTTTCTTCTTTTTTTCCCGTCAGTATCACTGAAGATTATGAATTCAAATTTAAATGTGATATCCTTCCATCTTGAGTCCTGAAATTATACGCTAGAAACATGGAAAGTTGTTTGTTGTGAACTCTATTTTTCTGGAAATTGTTATATTGATTTTTGTATTTTTTTTTTATGATTTTCTGTATTTTGTTGAGAAGGAGTTGCAAAAACAGGGAGGGAGAAAGGATAGAACACGTGAGGGGAGGAGAGAGAAATTGAGAGAGTGAGAGATAATTTTTGGCATCCAAATCTTACCTCATTTCCCCTATTTTCACCCTATTAATAACCACACATGGGTTCTAATTAAACCTAATAATATCAACCCACTTAGTAACTACTAAGTCTCATAATAGGCCCAATTACATCTACTAATAACAAAGCCCAAAATAAAACTACTAATAAACCTAAAGTAACATAATATTAACTAAGCCCGGATATATATAAAACAGAGGCCCTTCACTTCACCCTACCCGATTCATCTCCATAATCGGGTACATGACATTGTTCCATTATCGTGTAACTGATTTTAGGCATGAATCTAATTACTTTTTAACTGTTAGGTATATACACAAATTAATTAGTATGAGTTGTAAAGTTGCAATTACTAACAAATCGTGTAGCACAGGTAAAAATTTCCCAATAACATTTTTTACATGGGTCTAAACCCATTAGGATTGCCAACTTAACTTATGTAGGCCCAATTTTACAAAGCCCATAATAGCATGGTCCCATTTTGGTCATTAGAGACTCGGTTTGGACTGAGTTATGTCATACATTTTTTTTTAAACATATTTTATCCCCAAACAAGTTGGAGAACAAATGAAGTTATTATGAGAAGTGGCTAGAATCGTAATGAATCGCTCGTGAGTTTGGCTCGACTCGATGATATGTGAGAAATCTTGTATTAATTTGTGGTTTAATTTATATATTTGAGTATTTGATTTTAGTGTAATATACAAGTTTTTTCACGTATTTTATTTTGTGAACGAACATACACCAACATTCGTATTTTGTGTCTACTTTGCAGTTATTATGCTTATTTCTGACGTGGCATTGATGAGGTGGCAGTTGACTAGGCAAGGATGTAGAGTTGAATTTATTTGACAAAGACTTAAAAGAAAAGGGACCTATTTTGTTCAAATTGTACGAGGAGGGACTGAGTTTGAGATAGGAGATTAATTAATTCCTTGACTGGTGACTTGCGTGGCAGGCTAAGGAGATTGGAATTTGGTTTTGAGTGGATTCTCATTTGGTATGCTGGGAGAGTTTTGTGGAAATTGGACTTTGGATTATGATTCTAAAGGGAGGAAATTAATTCACCTAAAAAAACTTGGAGGACTTGAACAGAGAGAGGGACGTGAGTGCTGGGAGATCAAAAGGGATTTATTTGCTTGGAATTTAGATTGGCCGTGGATGATTATGATATAAAGGGAGTTTGTCATTTATTTTTTATTTTCTATTCTCTATTTTGATTGAAGAACATGGATTATTATTTAGCTATGTGTAGCTAAACACTTATTTCAGTTCTAGGGACGTTGAACCCTCGATGACTATGTTCGATTAATGCAATTTATTTCGTTTTACTCGTCGTATAAAATTGTTTGTGTTATTCTAGTTTCATGTCATAATGTGTGATTTTTAGTTTAACTTGATCACCTAAGTTAGGAATTGCATGTTAATTGCTAGAGTTGAGGCTTCGATCCGTAATTGTCGTAGTTCTTAATTCAATTGTAGCAACTAACAGTCGTGCATTGTTAGAGATAACACAACATAAGTTACATGAACCGAGCTTATGTGTTTGTGGCTTAGATCGGTCTATTTTCCTAGATTTTAATGCGACTAGTGGATTAAATTAGGAGAGCTTATTCCGAGTTATTCGCTAGTTAGAATTAATTGAAGAGCCTATTTCGATTAAGTAAAATTTAAGAGAAAATTCGGGTAGCAGAGCTTATTGCTATCTAGGACCGGTAGTTTTAGAAGATGAGTGAAATTTGATAAAAACATTAATTGGGCTAGTTATTCGAGGGTGTAGACCGACCTGGAACCGATTCCATTCTCATCTTTGCTAAATTATTTGTTTATTTTCGGTTTCATCATCATTTGCATTCTAGTAATTTATTTTTAGTTCTAGTTTATATTTTTGCTTTGCGAGTAGTTTTAGTTTCAAATCAAACCCCCCCGCCCCATTTTTATTATAATCTAATTAATATAATAAATTCACTGTTTATACCACACTCCCTGTGGTATCGACCCTTACTCGCCACTACTACTAGTTAGTAGGGGTAAGTTAGGAAAAATTATAAATTCAAATTTGCCGTGTAACGACAAGCGGTCACTCTATTTAAGCTCAAGCTTATCGTTCAGGCTAAAAAAACTTATGTAAATTTTTATATCGTGATTTGTTAAAGTTTGAATTCGACTTGTTAATATTTATAAACGAACTAAGCTTGAACTGGTTTAGTTAATGTATGAAACGAAAGCTATGAGCTCAAGTATCATTAGTCTAGTTCGACTTGTTTACACGTATATCTACATCTATTTATAACTTTATAAAAAAGGCAGTGAATGTTTTAAATAGAAAGGATATATTTTTCCATCTAAATATTTCATTTAATTTAATTTTACTAATTTAATTTATTTATATTCATTAAAAACGTATTAAGTTAAAATATCCATTGAGTTTCTTTTCTTGTAGTATATCATACTATAGCATAAATTAGTTTAAAATTTCATTTAGTCTCTAGGCCACAATAAGACTAACATTTCTATAAACTATTAAACTTAACCAATTGAAGATGCGCTATAGGTTAACTCATGTTCATTGCAAATTTGATTATAACTTCATCACGAACTAATAAAAAATATTGATACTAAAAACAATGACATGATTTCAAGTTTGGTGCCAAAACAACTCAATCAAAATAACACAAATCAACATTCACCCACAATACCATATATTGTGGTGTATTATGTCTTAACAATAGCCATTAATAACAACATCAACAAAATCAAACTCGATATCTTGCAAGTGTATCCTTGGCGGGCACATGTTCGTGGTAGACCCTCCACGCATAATCTTTGAACGAGAAAGAATTAAACGACATTTTTTCTTCAGTGGATTCGCGTTTTTCACCCTCTTTAGTCTCGACTAGGTTAAAAATGAGAGGGCATACCGTGGCCTCCAAAGGAAGAGTAATGAGCAAAGACATCGTTATGCAGTTCGGATTATTATCCTCATCACTTGAACTCACGATTGGTCTTCCTCTTACTTTTTTCAACTTCCCATTGCTCCAAACCTAAAATCAATATTTGTTCTAATGTTAAACTAAACACTTTTGATCTTCATTTAAGTTGAATTGAACAAAGACAAATTGAGAGCAACGATAAATATTTTTCATACATAGAATGTACACTCTCTTTTAGAGAAAGTCACTTTTAATTAGGATCTTATAGTAATAGATAATTTGTACAAATGAGCTCATATTTTATAATTTCTCTATGGGCTCCATTTAAATCTAATGCACCTAAAATTAGAGATTTGTAAGGTTAGGTGGGAATTTCTCTATGGGCTCCATTTATCATTAATCATTCAAGTAATTTATACAAAATGGAAATATGATGATGAGCATAATATACCAAACAAATAACGTGCACGTCTGAAAATTGATTCTCATGTAATAGTTAATACATGGTCCTAGGGATATTATTAGGCCAAACAAATTTTTTATGATTTTACATAACAAAACATCAATAGAATTTATAAAGCTTCTCTGCATTAATAAGATCAGATTATATGCTCGGCTCATTAATTAAACAAGTTGATAAATTAGCTCGAGTTGCTTTAATAATATAAATAAACTGAAATTCAAACTTTAACAATAGAAACTCAATGTGTCAAATTATAAAATATTAATATAAAAATTCATATTTTCCGATGAGTTTTAACGAGTAGAACGTACTCGGCTAGACTCGTTAGCTAATCGAGCCTCAATGAGTCGAGTTTCGTTTAACATCTCTAAACCTATGCATCTTCAAATATAATTCAAATATAAGTAGCTAGGTAAATATTTATAATATTGTTAATTAATGTTTATACTTAGAAAAAAACAATTAGCAAGGTAATATTTGAAGCCTGACCTGAGCAATGTCTCCGAGCGTGACAAGAACCGAGTCCACCTGACCCGACACAGTAACCCAACCAGAATCCGACAAAAGTGACAACTTCTGACATCTCATTTGATATTGCAACCCGATTACATATGGATAGACCCGACCCGGATTATTGGCCCCATTTGATACCCACATCAGAGAACGGAGCTGTTCCCGAGCCGGCTTCTTAAAGCCGACCGTTCTAGCCATCTCCTCCAGGACCTCCGAGCCGAGCCTCTCCATTTCACGGCTGAACTCTCCCAGCGGACTCAGATCCAACTCGTCCGTAGTCCACTCGGCGGAGCGAGACGGGTCGAGGCAGAACGATTCGCCGGCGACGGCGGAGGCTCCGTCGTCGCAATCCGTTTCGTGACCGAGCGGGAAGGTTCGGGGGAAAAGGGTCCGTTTCTTGTCGGCCGGGAGGCTGAGAAGGAAGGCGGCGGCGAACTCGGCGGCGGCGGGGAGGTGGGCGGGGATGCGGTGGTCGGCGAGGCGGAAGAAGCCGCGTCCGGCGGCGGCGGATAAGAGGGCGCCGGGGGTGGAGTCGGAGAGGGAGATGGAGGGTGCGTCTCCGACGGCAACGGCGTCGGAGGGGCGGCGGGCGGCGGTGGAGAGGGAAAGCGTGGGTGGCAGGCGGCTGAGGAGGTGTGAGATGAGGTCGGGGGCGGCGGTGGCCGTGGAGAGGTTGGTCTGGGCCGAGGGCGTGGGCGGAGGCGCCGCGGTGGCACCGAGTGGAGTTGGCGGAGGGGCGGCGGAGGCGCCGAAGGGGTGGCGGTGGTGATAGGGTTGCTCTGCTGACGAGGCCATTGTTGAGTTACGTACGTCGGACACTTTTTGAGGTGATTTATTTAGTGCCATTTGCTACTCCAGGGCCCACAAGCTTTTTGGATATACGATTACTTTTTAAAAAATTACTAAATTTTAATAATAATAATCTATATATATATTAAAGCAAAGCAGCTGCCAAATTCCCGCTCAAAATCTGCATTAAATGTTTGCACATTATTTGATAATAACTAATCTCCTCTTAAAATTTTGTCTGCATTAAATGTTTGCATATTAATTGATAATAACTAATCTCCTCTTAAAATTTTGTCTGCATTAAATGTTTGCATATTAATTGATAATAACTAATCTCCTCTTAAATTTTGTATTAAATATCCACTTAGTATTAAATTTGAGAATAATGAATACATACAAAATTTTAGTTTAGTATTAAATTTAAGAATAATGAATACATACAAAATTTTAGTCTTTGTTTCATGTATGTTAGGAAGCGTGCCCAACTCCTAATTTTTCTCTATCTTTTTTTTTTTTTCTCAATGTGATAATGTACACTTTGACTTGACAAATATGAAATTACATTTTTAAAACAAATTTCAAACTAAAAAAAAATAATGTATTTATTTTCTATCAAATTAATCATAATCTCCTAATTTTGTAAAAATTTTGTTTTATAGGTCTAACATAGAACATATTTTTTCTAATAAATATAAATACTTTTATAATAAAATACTTTACCTTGAAAAATAATGTTGTTTAAAAGTATAATATGAGCACACATATTTGATTATAAAAATGGTGGATGATTTTCTTAATAGTTACAACGACTTACAAGTATCTTTGTGATATATACATACATATCATATTTGAATGGCATTATGTTAATAATAAATTATTTACTTCATTTCTTTAGTTGTACGTCTTGAAATTTGAAATTGACCATTGGATTCACTTATGATATGAAATTTTGTCATATTACTTATATTAGTAAATTTTCATGGATTGCATTTTCAATAAATATACATAATTTCACATTAATATCATACTTTAAATTACAATGTAAATAAAATTATGACACTGTATAGTATAAGTATGCAATTTTCATGAAAAAATATGATTGTCTAACTGAAAACAACATCTGTGTACTATATATATGTATGTATAACTCATGACCATGCATACTTTACTATATTCATTTGCTGATGTGACGATGGATTAACATATTTTACATATTGGATGTATAACTAAAAAATCACGAGAATTTAAAACTAAGTTGACAGGAGTTTATATATATATATATATATATATATATATATATATATATATATATGGGAAATTTTCACCCTAATTACCATAAAAAAAATTTATAAAATTAATTTCTTAATTTCTATATAGATAATTCTAACAACAAAACATAATTAATTGCTATAAATACTTATTTATCAATAATTATTTAATATAAATTTGCATTCTAATTTTTTATTAATTATTTTTATATTTCTTCCTTTATGAGTAACATAATTCTTTGGGTACGAGAAAAATTTATATTATTTTTAACAATGCCTCAATATGTGCATTGCACATGTCACAATATTAACACACACGCACACACATACCCACATATATTTATATATAGAAGTTAAGTAGCTTGGAAAAAAATCCTCCAAAACTACATTTATCATCTAGAAACAAATTTTGACAAGTTCTAAGTATGATAAATCATTATAAAAAATAGTATAATTGTTTGTTCAAGTAAATAATTAAGTTTATACTTAATTGTGCATTGGGACTTGCGTGCTAATATTCATGGCTTTGAAATAATTTTGTTAAATCCTACGTATGATAATTCAAACAACAAAAACTAATTATGTGTACAAAGACTTAATTTAAAAAAATAGAATTATCATTATAGAGAACGTATGTATAATAATTCAAATATATTATGTTATTTTTTATAATCATATATAGAGTGAACACAAACTATACTTTAAGGTGGTTATATCTATTTTAATTATAATAAAAGAGCACCAATAGTTTACGACTTGATAAAAATAACAAGCTCATTATTGGTGATATTTTACAAATATCTAAATTTTAATACAAAATTCATTCATATGGTTAGTAACAAATTGCAAACTTACACAACTGAATTTCATATTTGTTTATTTTATTATATTTTCCAACAAACTATTTTGAAAATAATAAAAAAATAAGATATAGAGAGAAAGAAAGAAGTTATATCTGTTATAAATAAAGTAATTTATTCTAAAAGGAATAAAATTTTTAAAATAAAATAAAATAAAAAACAACATCTACAGGTATTAAGGACGAATTTGCATGTCCATATAAAATATATATAAAAAACACAGAATAACCTTTATATGGACAAAAAACAAATATACTAATTTAGGTTTCTTTTACAAATATCAGATATGAATATGAACAAATGAAACAAAAGAAAGAAAAAATATATAAGAAAATGTAGAATTCGAACATGACATCAAAACTTGATTCTATTTCTGGGTTAAAAATACATGATATTTCAGAACTGATATTACAAAATTAAAAATGATAACATACAAATAGGGAAAGTGACAGGATTTCAAAGAGGTATAACTAATGACTTTAACTATGAAGACTGAAGAGAAAACTTATAGTATTAAATTTGGTTTGATGGAAGGTGTTGATTGACCCAAAAATATAAAGTGTTTTTACTTTATTTATTTTTAGTTAGTATAATTTACTTATTTTTGTAAAAATATTGAATAGGTCATCTAAACATGTTCATCCATTTTTTCCATTATTTTAATTTCTTTATTGATCCATAATTATACAACTATAATTTCTGAAAAAGGCTTAACGGTTTAATTTTTTATTTATAAGAATGATGGGAATATAGTGCCGTTTATCAAAATATTACGACAAATAAAGTTCCGCAAGACATACTACAAATACGGCAACTATTTTATTTATTTTTATCATATATCACATGTGTTAGTTTTATTTTTTATCATTTTAGAGCTATATATTACAATTTTAATATTTTATTCTTATTGTTTAGCAAGAATTTTCTCAATGTATATTTCTAACAAAGTAAGTTAAATTATGATTATCATAAATTCAATGCAAAATAAGTGTTGGTTATTGATCAATACATTGACATTTATCATCTTGACCGTTACCTTAATATGACCTGATAATATACATAAAAAAAAAAAACATCATGAACTTATATAGTAAAAAATGTTGATATATATAGACATTTGTACTTTTATTTTTCAACTTTTAGATGGACATATATTGACACAATATGTATACAAAATAAAAGTTAGACGATTTAGTTCTTGAACATAACATCGGAATTTAGTTTCATTTATGGTAAGAAATAGACTAAAATTGTGGAGTTATATTAAAGAACAAAAAGAAAATGATAATAAAAAGAGTGAGAGAGTTTCAAGTCTCAACCATAAGAGATGAGAGAGAAATAGTGACGATATAGTTTTGACTCGGAAGAATGAATATGACAATCTATTATCATCCAATTGTTTAGTTGATTTTTTGTTATATATGAGACCTTTTATATTGGTTTTGGTTCTATTTGATTGAATTGTTTGAGCCCAAAATAAATAGTTTTTTTAATTTATTCATTTTTAATCGATATTACTTTTTAGTGAGACCGACATTTGAGGTCATTTAAACGGTGCCCTCATTTTAATTTATTTATTTATTCATAAATATGCATCTATAAATTTTTATGAATAAAAATGGCATAATGCATCAGTTATTGTTAATTTATTGTTATTATAACAATGTTTTGTTAAGAGAATGATGCAAATACAATATCGCTACTAAATTGTTGCAATAAAGTTCAATAAGGCTTACTATAATGCATCAACTACTTTTTTCTTATCATATATATCATAAATGTTAGTTTTATAAAAATAATATACTCTTTTAAATTAATATAATATATTTTAAATGTAGTTTTTTTATCTTATGAAAATTCTATCAAGGTTCACTTCCAAAAATTATATTAAATTTTATTTCATATGAATTGCGCGCAAAAAATAAATAAATTTGTTATTGACAAGAACATTAACGATTATTATGCCTATTTGTAAGTTTACAGAAGGTGATCCATCTTGCAGGTCAGTCCGATCAGCATCAAACTTATTTGGCAAAAAAATTAATTATTAAAATTTAATTAGGTAAAAAAGAGAAAATATGTGGACCTAATTTGAAACATGCAGTTCAAAATTGAGTCATTTTGTTTGTTTGTTTTAAGTATTTAATTTATATTTTTTAATTGAATCATATTTCTACATATTTATTTCAATTAATTTATATCAATTTACCTATATAATAGTAATAATGTCTTTATTATTCAGGAATGATGAAGTTTCAAGGAGTGTCATTAATATGAAAAGTATTTTTTGTTGAATATCACGAATGATTATTTTAATTTAATTATATTTTATTCTTTTTTAAAAAAACATATGGTATTTTGTACTCACAATCGGTTATATATTGTTTCTAGAGTTACCGATTCCAGTTGTCTTATGATTATTATTTATGATAATAGTCATAATGAATACAGTTCATCGATTCCTCATATTATATTCAGAAAAATATCTTAAATATATTAAATAAAATATTTATCCTATTTTTTGTTAACTCTATTCATGTTTTATGTATATTAAATTCTAATTCACCTAAATTATTTTTAATGTCAGGCCGCGCAACGCGCGGGTGACGTACTAGTAATATTAATTTTAACATAAGAATACATTTATGGTTGTAAACGAACCAGTCGAACTCAAGCTCAGGGTGCTCAAGCTCGAACCCTTGACGAGCATGAAATCGAGCTCAAATATACAAAACACAGTCTTAATTGAAATCTAATTTAACTTTTTTACACCGAAGAAAATTGAATTGAGATACAACGAATTGCAGTATCTTGCTATAGTTTTAAGTTTTCCTATGCATTTTGTGTTTGTATCATGCAAGACCATGCGAAACCAAAACACCTAAACTCATACTTGTAAAGCAAACACATAAAAATTCAAATTGAAACCAAAAACTTTATGTACTAAACAACTTAATATTGAGTTGTACCAAATTGCATAATTCAAATGATTTTTTCAGTTTGGGCTCAAATTTATTCACCCCTATTTTTTTTTTTTACAAAAATAAAAGTTCAATATAATTCTTCGAGTAGCTAAAATTTACAATTGAGTACAGGTAACTTTAGCCCAGAAATTATGGAATCGAGTGAGATATTGTCACTAGAAATGATGAATGTATTTTAAAATATTTGGTGAATTGTTTAATTATTTCCTCTCTTTAACATGGTATATGCTGATAAATGTTGAGATTTGAGTGGATTTGTAATTAAAATGTCGTTTGATAATCAATTTTTTAATAATACTCCAACTCTCCAAGGACCTACATTTTGGACAATCGTGTTAAATTATTAATTGCAACTTGCAAGACTCATTTTTTTTTTTTTTTTTTC